TGCAGACACAGGCTCGTATAGACTTTCCAGAACAGCTTGTTTGCGTCCTATTACACCACTGTTCTATAAATCTGTGGCTGTGACTGCATCACTAGTCCCTGTCCGTCTGGGATGTGCAGTTGCTCCTGTATTAGACTTGTAAATCTCAACTCTTCCTTGAAATTCAATTATATGCCACTTACAGAATGTGTCAAATGGCACTTAAATGCTCGCGGCTCTCTGTCAGTGTGTAACATGAACCACAGCTGTTGTCCTGACCACTCCATAAGTCTGCCTGTCCCTGAGCTGCAGCAGTGCCTTGAACAATTTATTAACAGTGGGCAGTTGGATATTTACACCAGTAAGCCAGAAGTATTAGCACATGGACAGAAGTCAAAGGCTACGCTAAATTAATATCGCAGGCTCAAAACAATGGCTTCTCGAGTCAGGAAGGAAATAGCAGTTTGTGTGCCTTATACTCATGCTAATAATGTTAGGATTGGAGGCTGTGACAAAAACGTGGAGATTGGTTCTCAACTTAGATTTTTTACATGTGCATTAACATTGACAGTGGCAGTAACAACGCTAGCATTTGAAGTATGTAACATAATCGCGGCATTATAATGATTAAATGTAAAGTTGGTCTGATAAAAAAATGTAAACATAAAAACATAACCGAATAGTCCCTACAGCACTGATAATAATTGGCCTTAGATAACACATGAAAGCCATGTTCTCGCTCTCAAAACTGTTTCTATCACTATTTTTTAAAAGCATGTATTTTTGGCCTCTGTCATATCTTTAGACCAGCTTTTTCAGTGACCTGCCCTCACCCAGCCATCATACTGAGAGCTGATTCATTCAATCAGCTCTCATTATGTAAAAAAAACCCAATGTTTCATAATAAGATAAAGACCGCATGTTGTGGTCTGATTTGTCCACCAACTGTTATTCTTCCTGTTGGGACAGACACAATGATTTGTCTTACATAATTTGTTGTCCATATAATCTAATGTATAATTAGAAAAAAAAATAATCCAGACATGTATCCATTACATATTATGAATAAAGAGACACAGATACTGTATGTTGCTCTTTTAGAATCCTGCACTCTAGATCGGCCTTTTGGGATGTACAGCCTTATTTTAAACCTTCTCGCCTTACATACAATCCAATTTGTAACGTGTCATGTTCTAATCTTGCAACCTTGTGCCATTAGATTCACCTTTTGGACGATAAAACTCACACACAAGTGTGCAATGTCTGGGTGCAAGTTATGTTCAGAACAAAAATGTGCCAGATATGCATTATGAATCACACTGAGTTATGTTTGTGTCTGCCGTCTGACTCTGCAGGCAACGATAATCTTTTAATCATCAAGGCGTTGAGAATATTTATCTTTTTCTAAGTCCGTGATTAGGCAGGAGACTAATTTGTAGCATTTGAGTCAGAAAGATAACTCCAGAACAGTATGTTGTGACTTTAGAACTCGCAGAAGATCGAAGGACAACAAAAAGATATTTTTGTTTTCCGGGGTGAATTTGCGTAGTTTCTCAATACAACAACAAAAGGACAATTGTTTTCCAAGATGCAAACTGGACACAAATTGTATCAATCCGATTTCTTGTCGCATTTATTTTTTTGATTTGTGATAGAAGAAGGACAAACAAACTGGTTATGATCTGTAGCAATTCATAGACAAATTGGCACAGATTGTTGTGGTGACATTTACAATAAAGGGGTAAGCAGAATTGCCACAGTTTTCAACCAAAGTCAAAGGACTAAGCTTGTTACTATTCTGTAAGTCTCAAAATATGATTCGCGGATGCCAGCATTGACAATACCAGAACAAAAACAAAAGCTTGATCTACTTGTAAATGTATAATAAATATATGCACAAGTTTAGACTGTAGCTGTTTTTCAAATATTGTTTGATTTTCATACATTTGAGTGATTGCATGCAAGGTAGGCTAAGTTCTTTCAAGTTCACTGCATCACTTAAAATAGCTATAAATGTCCCGGCTTCACTTGTGTCCCAAAAAAAAAAAGAAGAAAAATCAAAAAGGGGAGCATCCAGAAAGAAGGATTTATTCTTGGTTGGTTGATCACAGACTGTGCATTTGGGATGAATTTACTCTCCTCACTATCAGAAAGAGCACAATAAAAGGGTCCTTTGTGTCAGCTTTGATACAAACTCACATTATTCTTGCCACTATTTTAGCAAAGAATTGAACAAACAACTATGGAGAAGTGCTGAGCAATACCTATTGATTACCCATACACATTCACTATTAGACAAGTAATTTATTTGAAGTTAATGAAAAACACACAGGCTTCTTTTTAGTCAGCACAACTGCATTATGCATAAAACAGCGTGTCATGAGTGTACCTGATTTATTAATGATCTTTAAATATGTGACAGCTGGATGTCAGGGAGGTGTTGACATTTTTAGAGGTAGATCAGATTTAGGGCTACTCCTACAAGATGGATGACTTGTGCATTGTAAAGTCAAATGCATGGATCTGTTGTAAATTTAGTAAAAGGCTTTTTGAACTTAGGGCTCTTCTCTGTGAATTCAATATTTTATGAGAGCCTTGTGTAGCCTGTGTTTTTGACAGAGTTCAGAAAACGGAAGGAAAATTGCGCTGAAAGGTCTTCACTGAATAAAATACTAAATGCCTCCCTAATCCTGTAATGTTATACTAAGCTGGCCACAAACAGCTGGCCATTTAAGTTTGACATGTGGTTGCATGAGCCAGGACAACACCATGCTTTTTCATTAAAGAGATAGCAAAATATGGAGATTCAAAGACATAGAAAGACATAGTAAATTTGTCATAGTTTATGTTTTGATCATAGTCCCTACCCTTACTATGATATCACCCAACGAACCTGTGCTTCCAGATGATTCCTATTAGGGGAGCAGAGAGGTCATGCCTGGACCTATAGGCCACAGGGTGCAGACAGAGCAGAGGAGTGTCCCATGCAGCGCCTCTCAAAGTTAATTCAAGACAGATGAAGACTGAAAAAACAGCAGACCCTAAACATGTCGTTTCCCTCTGTTTTCTCGCATCAATAGGCAATGGTAGAATTTGAGGATGCTCCGATTATGCTGTTTCACTCTGCATTAGTCATTTTGCTGCAGGAGAGGCCGAGGTGGTTGAACCCTGTGATGTGCAGCTTTCCAAATGCGGCTCTTCATGCTCGCCTTTGTTTCCATGTGCCTGCTCTTCCATGAGAGCACCTGAGCTTTGAAGCTGCGTACTCTTACGCCAAGCTGCGCCTCATTGCATGTGCATATGAGAGAGCCAATGGCCACAGCGCGCAACACTCACGGACAAGCTTTGATCATACTGGAGTGTCACTAATGCTGCGCTCGTCACTGTCACATCATGTCATCTGCCATCACAGGTGTGGACCAGGGTCGAAGGCTAATGGAGTAGTCCAGGATATGATTTTCTACTTTTCCCATAAAGATACAACAACATTTTTTCTGCAACGAAGACGCACTTTTTTAGTGTGGGAAAGTATTGCTAGATTATGCTGAGCATCTTGCTGTCCGCATTGTTCGATCCTGAGAGGGAATTGAGGCGCTTCACCAGGAGTGAGCGGATTGGATCCATATTAGTATGTATCTATGTGTGTGTATGTCCTGTGTTCTTGGAAAAGTAAAGTAAATGTTGAAAATTTGCCTATAACCTCACTTAAAGAAAACTTATAGATGTTGTTCTGTTATGTTGTCGTCTGTGGACCAGGCTTTTATAGAAGGCATGTTTTTCTTGCAATCCTTAAGATATGCTTTTACTGCCTTGTAGGATTATTCTTTTATGGGAATTATCCACTCAGACCTAGACACAAAATAGATATTGTGCTCTGCAGCACAGAAACAAACATATGGTGTTTAATAATAACAATAATCCTTTACCACTTGGCCTGGTATTGATTTTTAAATGATTAATTTTATAAGATTTGTATTGCATTACGTTTTTAACATTGCTGTTGTGTTGTTTAAGGTGAAGTTAGCAAGGAACAATACAGACTGGATCTTGTTGTATCCTGTGGGTGGGGTCTACTTTAGGAAGTCCAGGAGTTGAACTGAGTGGTATTTGTGGTTTCCTGTGAGGTGACTTATCAACCACAGACACTCTCCTCAACGCTGTTTGTTTTGGGCCATATTTGGGGGAGCAAGTTTATTGTGGGCATTTGCTGACTTGATAAGCCTATATGTATATCCCGTTGGTGGGGGAGGTATGCCCTCAGGGCAAACACAAAAGTGGGTAAATGCCTTCGTCAAAAGCATGCATTAACACAAGATATAAAACTACGAAGCATCACTGGGACACAGCGTTCAGCATCTGCAGGACACCAGCGTCGGTTCTGCTCATTGTATCCCAGCCTGTGTATTTTTTCGGGAATGAGGGGGGATTGACTCACGTCGCCTCAAAGAAAGTTATGTATTTTAAAAATAGTTAGATAAAAATTTATATTTTAAAAAGCAAAGCGCTCTTATTTGTGTCTTATAAACATGGTCAGCCTTCCTGTGTGGCGTGCGGTGTGTCGAGGTGGCCGTGTTTTCCCGTGCCCCCCCCCCCCCCCCTCTGAGTGCGTAGTGGTACAGTCCGCACAGTGGCGGCTCTGCTGTGGACTGAGCCGCTGCCATTGCTGTGCATCGTCCCGTTCATGTCTACTCTTTACAACTTTTCATCCAGAGGTTAGCGAGGAACACACTACTTAAGGCGTGATAAAACATCCGCATTCTAACGCGGAAGATTAATTCATGTTTCGATGTGAAACCGGACCATCCCCTGCGCTTCATTCGACCAAGATAAGATAATGAACTTTGGACTTTCCATAGGGCTTTTCGTGACATGTTTCCCGTCGTCCTGGATCCATTAAAATAACAGCGCAGCCCGGCGCGGCGGCAGCTGGGCGAAAATTCATCTGGAAGGAAATACCGCTTGTTTTAACAAAACTATAAGAACTTTTAACCTGCCTCCTGCAAGCGGAGTGCGCGTGTAAAATGTCCTCCAAAGCCTCCACTAAGGTGGGTACCTGTCCCGGTGATTCAAGTGCAAGTGTGGTGTTGTTTTGAGCCTGGTGTTAGCTCATGTGTTTGTGTGAGGTCAACAAATGCACCAAAGGCTTCACAAACGACCAGCACTACATCACACAGCATGTTAGCCATAGATCACTGTGATGGGCTAGCATTCATCAAAGTTATGTGTGTATGTGTGAAGCGATGGCAACCTGCACACTGTCTACAATCAGCCATGCTGTTTGAAATGGTCTAGAAATGTTCAGCTATAGGTTATTCATGTGTTTTAAATCTATTTGTATGATTTACCCAGGTTTAATGGGGATGTGGTGACGACAGAGTTCAGTCTCTAGCTACCTGTTGCCTGTTGGCATTCCTTTTGCAACTCATGATAGGACTGTGAATGTAGGCTAAGTGTGCTGTCAATGGTGTATTTACCTTGTTTTTGAAGTTTTAAACTGATTTAAGTTTGATCTGATCAGTTCGGCCTGTAGGTTGTTATAATTGGCGTTCGTATAGATGATGAGTATCCACCCATTCATTTCACAAACGTTACTATATAGTAAAACTTGTATAGCCCATATTTTATTTGTTTTTCGATTAACCATAAGATTGCTTTATTTGTGTCATATGTTGAACTTACTCTTCCAAGATACATAGCTGACCTTTTAATCAGCAATGTCCTCCCTGCTGTCCCTGCTGTCTCACCACTTGTACAATATGGGAGAGTAGTGACTAATGCCTTCTATATGCATCACTCATTGAGCCATTGAAAGTATATTGTTGCAGGTTGAATGTTGTTTTCTGTTAGACCAGGCCTCATATTAGACCATAAACCATATTGTTTGTTTAAAATTTTGAAATGTATACTTTTCCTCATTTTGACAAGTGAGGAATGTGCATTGAATGTGTTTGTCTAACCTCGCTGGTCGAAGCGGTTGTTCCTGTTCCAACGAAACCTGCTTCATGATGTCAGCTGGTGACGATAGGCTGCACTGTATAGGCCTGTCACGATAACAAATTTTGCTGGACGATTAATTGTCTCAGAAATTATTGCGATAAGCGATTATATTGGCGTTCTGAGATCATTTGCATCGATTACAATGATCATGCAGGTACACCTTTTCAAAGAGAAATAAACTTTTATTTTTAACGAATATTTAACGCTAGAACACAATAAATTTACAAACAACCAAAAACAATAAATAAAATACTCAAGTCTCTTAACAAAAAATGACCAGGAATAAAACTGCCAGGACCTTTGTAAAGAAAATATGAAACAGATGCCTCAAATGTCAATAATTTCTCAGACTTTATGGCAGATTACGAGAAAGAAATACCAACATGTTGACTTTGTGTGGCTTAAGACACACCAGGCGAATGACAAGTGACTGACATGTGGGTTCACCAATGGGGCGTACAGAAGTCCTGCTGCGGTAGCGCCCACCGGAAGTAGCGGGGCGGGCTTTGATGCTAACAGCTAAGCTAGCGGGTTTTTTGTGTAAAGTTCTACTCCAAGAATGCAAGTCTGCAGCATCTCTGTGTTCAGAGACCTTCTAGAGACTTTATATAACAGCAGTATGTGTTCACGGAGGTGCGCCATAAGTTTATTTTATTGGTATGGTACGGTACTTCTGCATTGGCGAACACGCTAACGCTAGCTGCGCTACTATAGTCACTAATCAAGCCTGAATGAGAACTCAGCTGCCGGCATATGTTCACAACTACTGTGTCCCCCATTGTCAATCCTGGTTAAGTCCTGGTTTAGGTCCTGTTTTGGCTGTATTTTGTATTTTTGAGTAATTTCCGTCTGCTTGCTAGACCGCTAATGTTCCCGTGACCACTTTGCGGCTCTCTGACCCGAGAGAGAGGGGGATAGAGAGACGGGGGAAACAAACAAGCATGTAAATGGGATTTATCGCGGCCAGAAAAGTTATTGAGCAAATTTTATTTATCGTGCGATTAATTGATTTATTGACTATCGCGACAGGCCTAGCACTGTACCAGTCTGCTGCTGTCACACCTCACGCTCGCCATACTACTATACTCTGTTGTTTATGTTGGGCCTGAGCCAGAGACCATTTACACAGTAGACAAATGCCAACATAAGCGCATCTGTCAATGCTGGGCTTTACCTACTTAAATCATGTAAATTGTACTGCTGCTGGGATTCACAACATGCAGTATGTCTGGCGTTTTGATAAGGAAATGATGTAAATGTTGGCCTAAACAACTTCCTTTTCTCCACAATAAAAGTCGGCCTGTCACAATAATCAATTTTGATGTATTAGATATTGATTTGAAAATGGCGATTTCAATACGAACTAATGCTAGAACAGTAAAGCCAGATTTTAGAACCCCATAGTTTTTTTGCATAGTAATAAGCGAACAAGAACACAACAAACAATAATTACTAGGGGCCAAAATATCTGTAATTTATTGAACACTTGGTGTATAGAATTTCCCTTCACAGTCCTAAGTAAAAGTTTCATGTTTACTATAATAGACCTACCTATCTTTTACCTATCTTTATTTGTCGACAGTTATATTTTGTCAGACTCTCTCTCAGACCTTTTTGCTAGTCTATTTGGACAGCCTGATGCTTTTTGGTTCAAGGATCACTCTGTCCCATACTCCCGTTTGCCTCCCACACAAGCTACAATCATCATATTGTCATTATTGTTAGACACAAACACTTTCTATCAATGTGCTGGATACTCTCGGCCTTGGCACTGTCCTCATTCGCCCGCTCACATGTGGCACACATCTTGGATTGAGCGTTGTGTCCAGTGCAGCTCTTACTCAACAATCACCATCTATCTTTCTTCCTCCTCACAGAAATAACAAGATCAACGGATGTTCCTTTGGGCCAAGATAACTTTGCAAAGTCTGGAAAGTTTAATACAGAACTCTCAACTTCAAGGGCATCAGTCGTTTAAGTATGAATAATGTAATATTCACACAAACATTTTAATTAACTGAATTTTAATCAAACAGATTAGTCTAAATAACCAAAAAAGTCTTTTTAGAAAAAAAGAATAACTATTATCTTGATGAATTAAGAAGCATTGGCCAATTTAGTAAACTAAACAAAGTTAAGCTGTGCAGCTCTTAAAAGCTGTACATTTTGGCCCACTACATACAATTGGAAGTTGTCACTCAGCGTGGCACAATGACATCAGAATACATAATGGATGTCTTGAGCTGCCTGTGTAATTTTACTCTACAGACCTACAGTTTTTGTGAGCCCATAAATAATGAGTTTGTGCCTGGTGCCACGTTTCCGGCTCTGCCCTGTGTGGGTGAAAGGATTTCCTCGATGCTTTCCAAACTTGTCCTGCATCAGACCTGTTCCCTGGATGTCCCAACAGCTGTAGGGGCAAGGGGCTGCGTGTGACACATGGATATTTTGAATATAGCGGCTTACCGCCTCGATAAAAGCTTTTATCAGGGGAAGGGTCTGCTATCAGAAGAGATAAGATTAGACACTTTATGTTAAAAATAGCTTTTTACAAGGCTAAATTGGAAACTTGTTTGGCTTTGCTCTTTTTCTGGAGATGCTACGTCAGTTTTGTAGAAATGCCTTTGGATTTTGATAATAAAACACTCTGTAACTTGTCTGACACTGAATAAAGAGTATAGTCTTCTACCAAGGCACTTTTTTGTTTGACAGAATGCCAGGGTGATGGCTAAAATAGTGATAAGTCCAGAAGCAAAAAGTTGTTGACAATCTGGTTGGATTGTCAGTTGCAAACCACTGCAATCCAACCAGATTGTCAATAGAACTGTCCTTAATTTCCGTCAATTAAAGATGTTTTGTTGTGTTCTTGAAATAATACATGCAGTGACCACTCGCTTTCTACAGCTGGCTTCAGTTCTGTGCAGAGCCCTAGGCCAGCTCTTCCACTTTGTGTGAACACAGCAAAATGTGGAGCATAATTTAGTGCATCAGCGGACTTGTGTTTTGACAAGACAAACGCAGATGAATGGAGATGCATTAGCGCAGAGAAGGTTGTATTAATTAGTGTTGCACAGCAGGCCCAGAACAGCCTGTTTTGCTTTGATGATTGCAGATCTCCATTTACATCACTGAAGGAGGGAAATGTAATTAGGATCAAGAGGAGTCCTAGTGGCTGTCGTCCCTTTTTTTGAGCACCAGAAATGATTGAGTCGTTTATAAACGGTGTGTAGCAGCACGCTGTCAAACTGATTCATGTAATGTTCAACCACTTTTCATCATGAGTGCTTACTGCAAAATCAAAACACGATTACAACTGCATGAAGTGGAGAATATTTACTGTGATTATGAATGTCCCATGTTATGAAGTGGCTTCAGTTGTCATGGAGACTATGGTTGTTTACGCCAGATGAAGAAGACAAGTGATTGAGATGTGAATGTGGCACGAACGAATATTTATGTAATTAGACTGTCAGTTACTATACTGAGCACACTTTGTATATATCTGTATATCATCGTGAATGTCTTATGAATATTTATAAAGTTTGCTTGCACACAGGAATTGTGAATACATTTGGTTATTGAGACAGCCACTCCACTTTGTTTCTTCTCATTTTTTATTGGTTATTTGTCACTGCGTATGTTTGGCTGTCTGAAGTAAACTATTGTGGGTTGAAAACTCTTTGCACTGTAGCGTCCTCCAACAGTGTGGTCTTTGATGGTAACCTTTGATGCAGCAGCGCCCTGAGCCCTGAGAGCAGGTGTATGCTGTTCGCTTCTATAAGACCAGGCATCTGCCAACTGCACTCACCGCATGTTCACTCAGCTCGCCTTTTCTGATATTTTGGGCGATTCTTGTGATGGAGCAGGGGTTTAACCCACTCTGTGTATTGCTGTGGTCTAATTTCTACAATAGTGTGTCCTTGAGAAAATGAAGGACACATAAGATTTGTAAGATAATAATCATGGACCATTTTTTTTTTTTTTTATAATTTAGTCATGTTAAAGGAAAATATGGTCACTTTTTGGAGGAGTGTATTGCTTTGCCCAG